TGCAATCTCTTAGATTTTTGACCATTACATTTAGCGATTACTTGGTACATGCAGAAACAAAAAATGTAATAGCTACAGATGCTTCTGTCAACAATGAAAAGGCAGGCGTAGGAATTGCGTCTGATTTCCTCGGCTGGTCTTTTTCAGTAAGGCTTCCAGATTTCACTCCTATATTTGAAGCCGAGCTAGTAGCTATTATTTTAGCTCTTCGTAAAATTCCTACGACCGAGACCAGTGCAAGCATCCTAACAGACTCACTTTCGGTGTGAGCAGCTCTGACAACCTCTGAACAATCTCGTGCCCTAGCAGCGTTCCACACACTAGCAACGCCGCATTTAAAACTCCTCAAATTAGTGTGGGTCCCAGGTCACTGCGGATTACAATTAAATGAATTGGCAGATGCTTTGGCACGAGCATCACTCGATGGACCAGTAATTTCAGTACTTCCTGAGTTGGAATACTTATCAGGGGTTAGATATAGGAAATTCGCTATTTTTACAGATAGTTTAGAAAATATCATACAATGGACAGATTATCAGCACCTCAAATTTCCATGGAAAGCCCAGTGGAGTCCGTCAAAAAAACTTGAAATTAAAATCTCCAGATTTCGGTGCCGTGTCCCCCCATTAAATTTTTATTTACACAGGGCTGGTCTGACACCTTCCGCCCTTTGTTCGTTCTGCGAAGAATCAGAAACTATTAAACATTATTTTGGCTCATGCCGTAACTATGCATTAATTAGGAAACGACTTTTAAATATTCCATTTGCGAAGCTAGGTTTAAATTTCACCACAGAAAATGTTCTAAGTTTTGGTTCCTCTGTTTTGGAAAATTGCCACAGAGATGCATTTGATGCGGTGTGTAATTTTATTCAAGATTATAACGTTTTCCAACATTAAGCCCACGTTAACAGATACTAAAAAAAACGGGTCGAAAAGTAATTTTCCATTCTGGATAAATCCGTGACATACCAAATTAACGGGTTTGGCAAAACCAGCTGTCTGGTCGGCTCCCAAAATCAAGTTGTATCTATTAGTGTCTACTTTGTTGTTGATTCTTTATTCTCACTATCTAAATCTTTGGTTTCTTTATTTTTTTTTAACACACTTTCTTCACTATACAACTCCCCCCCCCCTTTTTTTTTGTTATAAGCAACAATGCAGTTATCGTCCATAGACTATATGTTCTCTTGGCCAATCCGCCAGAGTGGGTACGAGCCATGGATTAGAGGACACAAACAAACAAACAAACAGTGTTGGAGCATTACGATTCCACTCCCAGATTATACCCCGGTATTCATTGCAAAATTATTGGCCATTGTTCTTGCCCTACTCAAATTACCCTCATTCAAATCATTAGCAGTTATCATTACAGATTCGTTATCAGTTTGTAATGCACTTTCTGCGGCAGTAAATCAGAGCTGATGAATACGTTTCGGCATTTAGTACCACAAAACGTAAAAAAACTGCATTTGCTATGGGTACCAGGCCACCGCGGATTATATTTGAACTAAATGGCAGACTCTTTTGCAGTAGTATCCCTGGGTGGGCCCACCATCCCAGTTTTGCCAGATACGGCTTACGTAACAGCGCTAAGGTTTCGTAATGCTTGCCTGCAATGGGGAAAAGGTAATTTGGATAAATTCAAAGATTTCGAGCATTTGAGCTATTGCTGGAATAAACAGTGGTGTGTATCTCGCCAGTTAGAGGTAACTTATACCAGATTGCGCTGTGCTGTTCCCAAACTAAATTATTACCTTAACAATGCTTGGCTTAAGGCATCACCGCTATGCATTTGGTGCAACGAAATTGAAACAAGTGAACATTTCTTTTTATTCTGTCATCGTTATTCTTATCAGAGAAAAATATCTTTAGTAGCCCCATTACAAAAGCTAGGAATACAAGTAAATCTACCAGTAATTTTATCACTTGGTGGAACTTCATTTGGTTACTGCCACAGGGATGTATGCTGCGCTGTGTTTGATTACATCAACGCAACTAAAAAATTACCGTGCTAGTGAACCCCTACATTATCAGATCTTTAGTCTATAATTCGTAGTTATGTCTTTCAAAAACAAAAGACGGTTTGACCACTTGCTCAGCAAACATTTTTGTTTTTTGGTAGTATTATTTTAAGCTACTTTTTCAGATTGGCTTCATTTTCATTTTAGTTTCATTTAAGTATCCTGCCACCCGGTTCTTGGAACCATCCCACTTTGTGGGTAAGCGCCATTTATCAGAGGTCATCAGCATCAGCATCAGCATTAGACGACGTCCTCGTTACGCAATTCGCATTGTGTGACGCCTGGTTCTTCCTTCGCTGTTCTAAAACGCTTAATTACTCATATAAACGCGATTGTTGTCCGGACATCAAGCCTGCCTAAGGCAAGTTTGCACATAATTTTTAAGCACCATCGTGGCTTAGTTGTAGATTATCGGGCTTGCACGCAGTGGACCCGGGTTATAATCCTACAACGTCACCTGATGTCGTTGGTGTGTCTTGGTTGTTTTTTTTTTATTGATTCGTGCGATATTGCTTACGGACACCGGCGGTGGCGAACAACTACGCACCGCGCATGACCCGCGTTGTGATCTGGTAACACCTATCGCTGTTATATCACAGTAAATATAGCCTGATGAAGGACGGACATCAGCTTCCCTGTTTCTATAGTGACCAAGAAGTGGAGCTGGCAGGACTTTATTTCGTTACACCAAGAGCTGTGATGAGATCGCAACACGGGTCACGCATGGCACCTTAAATGCCTGCCGCTGCTGCCGGTGTCCGTAACTACATTCGCACAAAATAATAAAAAAATCAACTGAAAAGCACTAAAACGTTGTGGCATTTGAACCCGGGTCCACTGTGTGCCAGTTCAGTATTCTTCCGCCAAGCGACGGCGGTCCTTTAGACTCGTTCACAATTTTGTTTTAGTCAGGCTTGATGTCGGGAAAGAAATCGCAGTATTTGTGAGTAATGAAAAGTTTTATAACAGCAGAAGAATAACGGGAGTCGCACAATGAGAATTGCTTAGCGAGTGGGTCGTCCACTGCTCACCTTTACAAAGGCTTGTTCTTCATCATCTAGTAACTGTGGCACATACCCACTTCAGGCATATTTCTTCCTCGGCGCCAACCACTGCTTGAAAAACAAAATTAGCACAAAATGCGTTTCAAGTGTATAGCGGATACCACGCTTCTCCGAAGGATGACGAAGGAAAGCATAGTAAACGCCTGCCTATTACACAATGATTATAAGCGTAGTGGGTACGCTGCAAGTGTGCTTGCGGCAGGATGCAAACACTATTAATTAAAGACTCTTGAAGCCCGCTCTTCTAGCTTTCGCTGTGACAGTGCTGCGCGTTCAGTGCAGGGCTGGTGTTTTTTTTCAATTTTAGCGGCCGATATGTTTCACAGCTCCATTTATTATGTCCAATATATATTGTGAATAATGAGGAAGCGTAATGAATCTTATAAGTGGATCGTGTGGCTCAAGTTTACTAACGGATACCAGTGTATGTGTTTAGTTTACACACAAGATGCCTTTTTACTAAAAAATTTCTGCGTTAGGTGTATTCAGGCAACAGTAATATCTGAAATAGGCCGTCTTCTAGATAGCGTCTGTTCAGGCTGAACAGAAGATTTGCGAACTTGCAAAATGTCTGGCCATCTGGATATATCAAAAAGCGGCTGTGCCAGCCTTGAGGCACATCTACTTTTCGTTTTCGTAGGAAGCGCAACAGTAAGCAACACAGATGATTCTTTACGAAATTAAGACGATGAAGTTTTGTAGCAACTAGTACAATCTACGTGCTTATTAAGCTACTTTCCGTTGCAGAAACCGACACTACTGCCTCCAGGTTTATGACGTTACGGCATCGGGTGCTTCAACATGGGGGACGTCTTGCACATTCATGAATAGCTTAGCTGACTCTCTGTGGCACCAATTGGTAGAGTGATATATAGTTTACTCAGGAGAAAAAAATCTTTCTTTTCATTTTGCAAACACACCAGTTCATGTCCGACGAAAGAAAGTAACGGGATAACTATGTCGTATGAAGCATGGTGATATATTCTGTTTATCGTTAGTGTAATACAAACAATAGGCAGTGGTTTAACTCAGCTATTCCAGGATATACGTATCGTGAGCTACGGACGGTTGGACGGACGGATGGACGAACAGACAGACAGACAGAGAGACGACGGACGGACGGACGGACGGACGGACGGACGGACGGACGGACGGACGGACGGACAGACAGACAGACAGACAGACGGACAGACAGTCAGACAGACAGACAGACGGCTGAACGAACAGACAGACAGATGGATGGATGGATGGATGGATGGATGGATGGATGGATGGATGGATGGATGGATGGATGGATGGATGGATGGAGGATGGATGGATGAATGGATGGATGGATGGATGGATGGATGGATGGATGGATGGATGGATGGATGGATGGATGGGCGAACGGATGAATGGATAGATGGATGGACGGACGGACGGACAGACAGACAGACAGACAGACAGACAGACAGACAGACAGACAGGCAGACAGACAGATGCACGAAAAGTCTAGTGAGAGACCTCACACGATTCAAGTGCCAGCCAATTATTGACACCACACTCCAGGAAACTACAGTTCTGCGGTGCCCACGTGGAGCGCCACCTGAGGTCACTGCTTCTCAGGCATGTGCAGCATGGCTTTCAATAACCCACGCAAAAACGTCTTAACCTCCGCCAGTGTAGCCTACGCTACAACATATTTTAGAAATGTATCTTGATACAGAAACAGAGATACTCAAAAGTACCTCCGATTCAATCATAATACTTTTGTATCATGGCACTGGCCAAGACGTCCTCGTAAACTCAGTTATTCAAATGAAACCATAGGAGAAATTTATCTTTTGGTTTGCAGCATCCTTGCTACCACAATGATTGGATTGGATAAACTTTTATTTACCACAACGATGACACTGACATAATTTGTTTTTTAGCTGATACGCACAAAAGAACCGATATGGACATTCTTCGAGACAGGAAGCAGTCGAGTTTCATGCAAGGTGGACGTAATGATCACTATGAATGAGAGAGCGGTGTTATTCAGAAGATTGTACATCTATGGAGGAAAAAAGTAAGATATATAAACCATTCGACTGGCACCTGTGTAGTCGAGTACTAAACCATCCTTCTTTTTGCAGATATGTTGAAAATCATTGGGGACTTCTTGACAACGTCTACAAAGAGAGGATGCGCATTTGGCCTGATGGTACGTGATACTTATGGTCGTATATTATGCTAATTCTCATTTTCTCCTTGCGTTTTTATCATGCCGTTTTCATAAATGAACTTGAAGCTTATGAAGAAATTTTACCAAGTTTTGATGGCGGCTATAACTGTTAGATTTTAGTGTTTTGCCTAAATGCCTATAAGTGCCCATTCTTAAAATCAGTGCCAGTATGATCACAGCTAAACTGAAATTACGCTTTCGGGTGCGTCTCTACATGGTTATTATGGTTAACGGCTAGCACTGGCATTTCGGCACCCTGACCCGCCATGACAGCTTGAGCACGAAGGGTGTTGCTTTGGTAAGACCACGTACGCTGGTACTTTTCACAGCCACGGCGGCCGCATTTTCTTGAGGTGAATTGCGTAGGACTGTCGTGTACAGCAAAAATTGGCAGCCCCACGCACAGTGGAAATCTATAATATGCGAAGCATGAATGAGGAGGGTTGATATGTCTCTTTAAAATCAGCACACCGTTACGAGGCGGAGGTAAATTATGCCGTGCATGACTTCCTTGTCATGATTATCATGTTTGAGCGTGCCTTTTTACATTCGTCCTCTATTCACGTCACCTGATACCAAATTTGGTATATTTGAAGCTAGGAAAATGGTCACGAGCGCATCGTGAATGACCCAATGCACTCCGACGTAACGCTGACGCTAGTGCATGCTGGGAACAGCGACGCTGCGCTAGCAAAACGCGAGCGCTCTTCTAAAGTCTGACGCCAGGCGCTCCTGGCGCGACCACCGTCCGTCGGCGTGGCCCGGCGGCAACCATCGCGAAATGCGACATGGTGCATTTTCGCGCCGATGACGTTACCCATACAGCATTGCGTCTGCCACTCTTTGTGACGGAAGGACGCCAGGTGCGCTCAAACGCGCATTCTTAGAAGTACGCAGCGCAACGCGCGCCTTAAAGGCAGGCAGATCGGCGCCTTACGTGGAATCGCCGTCGTGACGCGACGAAACGAACGCTGGCGCGCACGTGTGCTGGGTCCCGTCGGAAGCTGTATTGGTGCCTTCAGTGTGACCTGCAGTCATGTTCTTACATGACATGCATCTCATGAATACCATGTTTGCACCAGTCATATACCTTCGTCATCTATTGACGTTACGTAATACCAAATTTGGCGTTATTGAAGCTAGTGAAATGGCCGCCAGCGCATCATGTGCGTGGCATGCCCTGCAGTCATGTTCTAATATCACACGTATCTCATGATGATCATGTTTGCAACATTCATACACCTTCGTCATGCATTCATGTCCCGTAATACCAAAGATGGTATATGTGAAGCTAGCGAAATGACCGCGAGTGCCCCATAAGCGTAACGTGTAGTAATAATTAACTCATCACTTACATGACATGCATATCATGATTTCTCCGTTAGCGTCTGTCGCTTGCGTTCGCCATGCAGTCATGTCATACCACACCAGTTTTGCAACACGTCATGTGAACGAAACCACCGCGAGAGCAGCTAAACCACGAAATGTCATTCATGAATTTCATGACATATATTTCGTGATTTTCATGTTATGCCTGTCACTTACCCTCGTGATACAGTCATGTTATGTCATACAAAGTTCAGTATCGATACGATTATTGAAACGGCCAGCAGAGCTAAAAGTCAAACGCGGCTAGATAGATAGATAGATAGATAGATAGATAGATAGATAGATAGATAGATAGATAGATAGATAGATAGATAGATAGATAGATAGATAGATAGATAGATAGATAGATAGATAGATAGATACGCTCAAAGTCGCCGGAGTTCGCTAAGAAATGCTTCGTATTTAGAAGCTTGTTGATTCAAGCCTCCTTAATACGGAAAATCCGATTATTCTCATGTGTTCTCGGCTTCTTGACAGCACATGAAGAAACTTGCGGCTTTTAAAGTGCTCGCATGTAAAGTAAGTGGAGAACTTACGCATTGATAAAGAAATCGGAACTGTGAATATATAAAAAGCTCTTTTCTTGTTTTCTCGATACTTTCGATTATTCGTATTCGGTTAATGCGAGCATGATTCCCAGTCCCGTGCAATCAAAAATAATGAGCTTTTGCTTTGCTTGGATTTCTGTACACACAAAAGAAACCCATGTCCTCAAAGATTTCAGAGCCACCTCCAGTATGCCAGTATGTCCCGTCTCATTATGATATCATTGTTTTGGGGGCGTAAAACTACAGCAATTTTATAATATGTTCAAAATATGAGGCATTTCTGCCTTCTCATCTATTACCGGTGCGGCTATCTTCCTTGTGCTGGCTTTCTCTGCCAAGCCGAATTGAAACAGGCCCAGCAGTGCACTTATTCCGCAAAGCGGACATCGAACACACAGTGCTACACAATAAAAATTTAACTATCTTCCCAAAGAGAATCCGGATGGGAGGCGAAGCAGCAGCGTTTTGTACGGGTGGCATTACGGGTTGAACGGCGCTAACGTGGGTGTTGCGGTGAACGCTGGAATATCTCGAGTGGCGGAAGGGGCATGTGTTGCAGGAGAACGGAGGAGGTGAACAGCAGGTGCCGCGGCGAGCGTACGGAAGGCGGGCAAGAGAGTGAAGTCAGCGCGTACTGCGAGGGGAGCATGAAGTAAACGCCCAGCTGCGGCGTGACCTACTTGACACCGCTCCAACACCTGCACAATAAAAGCCCATTGTGGCGCGTTCATATGGACGCAGGGAGGGACAACATTACAAAGGCTAGTCAAAAAGATACTTCGCATATAAAACCCCAGACCTGTGCGAAAGCGCAGCACGGTCACAAGGAAAGCTGTCAGAATGTCTCTCTGGAGCCCGCTGTTAGCTTTTTTTTTTGATGTTTCTAATACAAGTTACTATTGCAAGATACCTATCACGCCAGTAACCATAATTGGGAAGCCCCCACCATGACAATCTTCATTTTTTTCAAAAACAGCGGGATATCAGCTAAACATCTGCAAGGCATTTCAAGCGCTTGGTTGGTGCGATGGCCGTTAACGACAAAGAATTGTGGCTGAGTCCTTTGAATAATTTGGACGCTTTAAACTACCCGCAGTGGCGTAATTCACATTGTGTGAGGCTCAGTCGTCATTTCACTCCCATACCACGCTTAATTACACATCTTACCGGTACGTCTTGGTAACTAATGGAGGTAAGCTTGCATGGTACCATCTCGGTCCCAAATAATCACATATATTTTGACGTAGACAACCGTGCAGCAAGCCGCTGTGCGTTAATAAGCGTAAAAATGCGGTACCTGCTACCCACTTGTAAGTTATTATGAGCGATTTCTTAATGTGGCCGATCGTGATGAAGAAATACAGTTGAACCCTTTGTAATAAGCTGCAACTTTTAAACGACCCAATAGTTACGTAATTAGGAATGTGTGATGCCTTGTCATGTTCTCTGCCTCGTTTGATGCCCCCTTTTTGTATCACTCTTCTACTGCACTATATAACTCAAGTTAACGTCTCTGCTTTCCGATACAGAGAGCGTATAATGGCTTTTTCCGAAAGAGTTCCAAGCACCGGCGTGGCACTGGGGTGGAATACTCAAGTGCCACCCTTAGAACGTAGGGCCAAGGTTGGTTTTATCCAAAATATCAGGGGTGAAGCTTCTGTTAGCCTTATCTTGTCACGCGTCAAGCGTACCAACAGTATCTCCGAAACAGTCTCCTGTCTTTTCTCGTCTCATTTCCCAGATGGAGTTACGCTGCCGCTACTCTCCAATGGGCTACTGCGCGCACTTTGTCTGAGTGCGTGGAGAATGAAAGCGTATCTTAGTGTCTGGATCGTCACCGCACGTGTCGGATTGTTGGTGAGGCATGAATGAAACGAAGCAGCGTGTGCCAAGGGCTTCGAAGTGCCACTACTCTCCGATTGGCTGCTGCGTGCATATTGCCTGAGTGCATTGGGAATGAGTGCCCCTCTCGGTCTCGGGATGATCGCCGTACGTGGGGGATAATTGGTGGGACATGGACGAAGCCGAGTGGTGAACGCGTTGAAGACGCTTACGCTCGGCTTCCTTAGCTCGCGTCTCTTCGGTGTTACCCGCGCGTCGTCTGCATTCTCTAATGCGATCGGACGCATGGGTGCACGTACGGATGTACGGACAGACGAATGGATGGGCGGATGGACGCTCGCACAGACGGACAGACGCACAGACAGAGCGGATGAACGAACGAGTGGAGAGATGAATGAACGTACGAATGGACAGACAGACAGTTATATAAACGGACGAATGCACAGACAGACAGACAGGCAGACAGACGGACAGACAGATAGGCAGACAGATGGACAGACACGCGGACGGACGCACGAATGGACGCTTGGATGAACGCACGGATCAACACACTGACGGTCGTACGAATGCTTTGCCCCACTCATCATTCACTGCGTGGATATGGTGTAATTGTTCTTGTTCTATCTTCATGCGCTTTTAGAAGCTTGCTCCTTCTGCTCGAGCCTTTATCATCTATCTCGCCGTAGTAGCCACAATCCATCTGAAACACACGCCAGGGTCAGAACAGAAAGGGATGCGCGACTCTCTATTCTTGCATGAGAGAGCATGCTAGGTAAGTGACGATAGATGAAGATGTCGCGTTTAACATCCCAAAAATAGAGACTGTAGCGGAGGGATTCAGAAATTTCGACCACCTGGGGTTCTTTAACGTGCACCCAAATCTAAGTACAGGCCTAAAGTACTTTCCCCTCCATAATATTGCCACCATTGATAAACGAGCCACGGTGGCTCATACGCGTTTTTGGGCGCGAAGAAGAAGAGAACATCTTCGTTGCTCTGGTTCAAGTGAACTCCTGGCTGCGGGTCTTGTTTTGTTCGTGACATTACTGGTGGAGACGCTGGGTACGTGTACTTCGGCTGTGTCGGCCATCGTGGAGACAGCTACATCTCCCAGAGCAAGAATCAGCCGCCGCCTGCGTGGGTTACCCCCTGAAATTGGTCCCTTGGCATCGACACCCAGAAAGATGGCAACTGCGATAA